CATGGCTGGCATTTTATTCTTAGAAGGTACTTTGCTCCTTTGTGGGCTCTCAGGTGGCCTGTTATGGTTTGTTCTGGAGACTTAGAGTAGCCACCCTGTTACGAACTGATATCACTATGGGAATTACATCTGATAGCCACTGATGCGTTCGGCACAGCAGATACACACCATCAGGATGCATCCTATTTTCTACTTCTGTGTTTGTAACACATGCCTCTTAGAGTCCCAAGCTCTCCTCCTCCGTGTGGAGACCGAGAAACCCCACCTCATTTCTTTGCTTTCTGTCAGATTTGAGGCTGAAGGGACACTCACGTCTCAAATTTTAAGGTGTAGCTTTCATTAGCTGTTTGTCTGCATCCTACCAGGACAGCAGGTACCCATGAACAATTGGTCTCCTGTCTTGCCTCCCTGGCTATGCTCGAGAAAGTACCAGGCACCAGGTTTCAGGCAGTGCCAAGGGCTGGGGAAGGAAGGTTCCGGCCACTGGCCACCCACCATTCCAGCTATTCAGTCCTGCAGGCCTGCTGCCTGCAGTTACTTTGCTACATTTGAAGCTCTCGAGCCAAAAGTCACCGACACACCAGAGGGCATGGACCATGGAGGCATTTATAAAGAGAAACAGGATACTCCGTGTCTGTCCTGAGTGACCAGCTTGTTCAGCCAGCTTAGTCACAGGGTCCTTATATAAAAGTGCGAACAATCTTTTCTACAAAGATCAAACATCAGATAGACCACCAAGAACTAAGAGAGGCAGGAGGGCCATCTAAGGCCAGAGGAGTTTGGTAAACCTGTGTCTGAAACGTGGGCTCATTTGAGCGCTCAATTTTGGTGAGACAGTAACCTCGATTCCATATAAAATTTAGGTAGTCCACCCTACAGCCAATAGGAAGGAGAACCGCCGGAAGTCAGCCGCACAGCCAATAGGAAGTAGAATCACTGGAAGAAAGAACCAGCTTGAGTAGTTGAACTCTGAAGGACTTGAAAAACTGTGCTAGGCTATTTCTGAAGCGCTGCTCACCCCCTGCTGCGGGCCTGGCTAGCTAGTGCGGCCTTCACAGGCTGTAGCCCCCATGGCATCACTTCTCTCGGTAACAGCGAGTGGCTTTGAAGTATAATATAACAAGTTCACCTGTCACAGGCCCGAGCAGCTCCTCAGTTGTCGCCCCCAGCTCTGCTGCTCCTGCAAAGAGGTACATTAGAATCCAACCCCAGAGAAAAGTGGATGTGGAGCTGAGTGAAGACGGCAGGTGCTTTTTATAGCGTTCAGTGGGTTGCCAGGAAAGCACAGAGCTGACAAAACACCTCCGAGGCAGCGGCTTCTCTGGACAGACTGTTTTGAAAGGGATTCAATTCCATTTAAATGATGGTATTTTGAATATTTTTTTCCCACATTCAGCACCCCCTGTCTTCCTTTTTATTTTCTATAGGAAAAACATAAATGTGCATTAAAATTGCCTGGGAAAGTCTAGGCATAAATATTAAAACATTTGGCTGCTGGTTAAAGGGAATTTATGTCTGGAGTTTCTCTCTGTTGCAGGATCTTGCTTTTTATTTTTGGCGGTGAAACATTGCCCCAGACTCCATAAGATATCCCTTTTGGTGTTCTCCGTCTTTCTTTAGCAACCCTTCTGCTGTCTGCCTCCTCTGCTTCTGTGTCTGGTGGTCCTTGGAACAAAGTGTGTATAGTCTACAAAGCAGAGGGCTGAACTCTAAGGCCAGGTGGGCCCAGCAGGTGCACAAGCAGGTGAACTCTAGTGCCAGGTGGGCACAGCAGGTGCACAAGCAGGTGAACTCTAGTGCCAGGTGGGCCCAGCAGGTGCACAAGCAGGTGAACTCTAATGCCAGCTGGGCCAAGCAGGTGCAGAAGCAGGTGATCCAGGCTGTGGGGTCTGGGGTGAGCAACGCTAGACTTGCCTGTCAGGAAGGGTATCCAGATGCATGATGGGCAAGGCCTCTGAGATCTCAAGAGAAGCCAGCTTCAGATTTTAAGGTGAAAGTTATTGTTTCATAAACGGACACAAATAGAACCCAGGCCTGCTGTGGGTGGAATAAGCCCTCGGATTGTGCCGTGGGCTGGCAGTAGCCTCTGCTGCGATGGATGACCCAGGCTCTCCTGGTCATGAGAGCTGGAGTTGTTGGTGGGAAGAGATCTCCTTAGGCTTGAGGCCTGGTGGCAAGTACCCTCTCTTAGGATTGTTTTAGTTAGGAATGATGTCCTGGTCACACGGTAGGGACAGGCTTATCCAGAGAGATGGGATTTGCAATACTCTTCATGGTTTTTACTTCCGGGTTGGGGTGGTCTGAGTAAGCTGTATGAATCCTGCAGGTCTTAATCTCTTCTACACCCTCTCCCCCTTCCTTCCCTTCTCCCTTCCGCACAGACAGTCTTTCTATGTAGCCCAGGATGGCCTCAAACTCACGCTCATTTTGCCTCAGCCTTCTGAGTACCGAGATTACAGGTGTGTGCTGCCACAATCAGTTCTCATATTTTTTATTTTTAAGTCAACATTTTGGTTTAGTGTGCAAAGTAAAGGGTTTCATCATGACATTCTCATATGTATCATTAGAGTGTGTTCACATCCTGGACTTTGTCCCACATGTTCCTTCCTCACCTCCAACTGGTTCCCTTTCTTCCTCCAATTAATTCCAACTTCTGCTCTCCTGGGGACAGGTACTCTGTTGGAGTAATTATTTAAAACGACCACCAGTCGAGCCGACTACCTAAGCTGCAGCCGCTCTGCCTAGCCCAGCTGCCATTATTCCATGGCCAGAGGCCACATCCGCGCAGCAGCTAGAACTGGCCAGCCAGAAACGCCAGCCCTGCCACCCACGAGACGCCAGCGTGGGAGATGGCTCTGCCAATCTTCCATGCTGTCTCTGAAAGGCTGGGCATTGCCCCCACCATCCACGTGGACCTGGTAGAAAGATGAGACTGTAATGCTTAAAGATTAATCAAAGGCTTATATGTTTGGTAATGATCAGTAACAAGATACCCAAACAATCAGAAGTGTAACCCAATACCCAGCCTAGATATACCAACTACCTTTGACTGCTACAGACATGTGAACATCCGTCTCCATCTCCCCTCCCTCCCTCCCTCTCTCTCTCTCTCTCTCTCTCTCTCTCTCTCTCTCTCTCTCTCTCCCCTCTCCTAGCTCCTCCTCTTCCTCTCCTAACTCCTCCCACCTTAGCTCCTCCTACAGTACTCCACCTCCCTCCCTCAAGGTCTCTTCCTTCCTCTCACAACCCTGTTGCTAGTTCCACGAATCACACACACACACACACACACACACACACACACACACACACACACAC